CCATGGTTTCTGTGACCTTGGACAAGTTATTTAGCTCCCCTCTGTGCCTTTGTTTTCTCATCTGTAAAATAGGTATAATATGGCCCCTTCTTCATTGAAGGTATCATGGATTTCCAGAAGAACAAACAAATCTATGTTGGAAAAAGAACAACCAGAATGCTCCTTAAAGCCAAGATGGCCAGATTTCATATCTCATACTTTGAACATATTATGAAAAGGGTCCAGTCCCTAGAGAAGGATATCAGCTTGGTAAAGTGGAGGAGGGACAGCGAAAAAGAGGGAGAACCCTCGGTGAGATTTGCACAGTGGCAATAAAAATGGGCTCAAACGTAGCAGCAGTTGTGAAGGTGGTGCAGGACTGGGTGGTGTTTTGTTCTGTTGTATGTAGTAGGGTCACTATGGGGCAGAACCGACTCATTGTGAGGATTAGCAGAGCTGATACATGAAAGGCATTTAAATACAGTGAGTGCCTTTGGGGCCTGCTGCTTTAGAGCTGCTGCTTTAGGCTGGATGACTTTTTTTTCTCCCCCAACCAATCATATGTTTTGTTTCATAGGCAGGATGACTTTTAGGAAAGCAAACCTAAAAGCATTAAGTCAAGCCCAATTTTCTTGATCCCAAAAGAACCTCAGGTGTTTTATTTCTTTTGAAGGTCTTTGGTATTCTGCTGAGGTCTCACACAGTTCATTGCCTTAAATTGTGTGGTGTTTTCTAGTTTATCAATTGCTTCAACCTGGAGTCATCATTTGATCTTCAAATCCATCCGTTCACAGGTTGGAAAATTCCCCCGAAGCAAAGCTGAATAAATATGCTTCAGGTGTGATATGGCTCACCTGGCACCTTCATGGAGTCTCCTGATCACTGGGCTATGAAGCCAGGACTCCCAGCCTCCTTCCTTTCCACCACATAGGTGGGAGCAGAACTTGGCTTTGAAAAGAACAGTGTAAAAGTACAAAAAGATGATCTTTGTTAAAAGGAACTAAATAGCATTGGATCTTTGATTGTCTGTGTGGGACCAATTGCTGCTGAAAGAGAATTGAGACTCCAGACCCTCCCCCCAACCCCCACCCCACCCCCAGTACTGTGTATTAGATCCTAAATTCTGGGCACTTGGTTGCAGAAAGCTACAGTTCACAGTGTGAGCCCTAACTACATTTTGAGTCTTGACATAATTCAACTTTCATCGAGTCTATGCTAACTTTTAACTAGCAATGTAAAGCTCTTGGCCCTCTGGCAGAGTGTGTTTGAAAGTGGGCCACTCCCCTCACCAGTCGGGAAGGGCACCCTCGCCCTCAGGGACTTGCCTGGGTGTGCCCTTAATGGAAATTGGGGTACCAGATTCACATGATTATGAGTCATTCCCCCATCAAGATATCCAGAGGACCCTAGAACCAATCCTGTAAGCTTTTTTAATCTGCAGTATTATACATGTATCCCAATTATGGTCCTTCCTCTCTCACCCCCACACTTTATCTGCTGCCAGTCATGATTTTGTTGACAGTTTCCTTCATTTTCCATGTTCTGCAGTTAGCAGTGTGGCCATGAATCCTTTGGACACCCTTAGGGCCTCATTCTGGTGGCCTCCCTCATCTGTAGGATTTGCCTTTGTCTTGTCTTTATCTAAGACTTAATAAAGGGTCTCTATAAAATACATTTGAATTTGGGGTCTCTTTTTCTCCAAGAACACCAGTTTGTCATGCCACCATGGTGTGTTGCTTGGATTTCAGTGACTGAAGATGCCAGGTACCGCTCAAGCCCAAGATGGGTTTACCCTATTGGTCTGTGAAGAATTCGAAGAGGTCTTGGGAGGGTTACCTTGTATTTAAATTACATGTAAACATCTGCAGTTTTCCTTCAACTCTCTACTCTTCTTTGCCTTTTCAAACTTGATAAAGATAATGACCTCTTAGTTGGAAACTTAGGGTTGCAGTACTTCCGCTGCATTATAAGATCTAGAACCACTGTTGTTGGATGTTGTTGAGTCGGTTCCAACTCAAGGCGATCCTGTGCACAAAGAGCGAAACATTGCCCTGGACTGCGCCATCCTCACGATTGGTATGCTGAACCTGTTGTTGCTGCTACTGGGTCAGTCCTTCTCATTGGGGATCTTCCTTTTTTTTGCTGACCCTTCACTTTACCAAGCACTTGTTTAAGTGCCATGAAATTGGTTCCGCCTACTCACAGTTGTTGCAGCAGTTTTAGATTTAAGAGTGTCACAGCAGCTCTTGATCTGTCCTTGAAGAAACTGAGGCCACTCAGAGAGGTGAAGTAAAGTTTCAGATTTTATAAAGCCGGCTGGCTCAGAGGAGCTTGCTTCTCCAGATTCTGAGTGCTGAATGCAGGGCAGTACAGACTTGAATCGGGGAGGGGGTTAGGTTGCAGACCTGTTTGAAGACAGGAGGGAAACCAGGATTGGTTCCATTCAGTAACCTGATTAACATTCTAGTTTGTCTCCTGGGCAGAGAGAATTGGTCCCACTTAGTAACTTGATTAACATTCTAGCTTGTCTCCTGGGCGGAGAAGGCAGTGAATGTTTTTACCTTTTCCTATTCATAGTGACCCTATATAGGATTTCCAAGGATCAACTGGTAGGTTTGAACCTCCCACCTTGCAGTTAGGAGTCTAGTACTTATCCTACAGCACCACACCAGGACTCGAAGCACTAGGTTTATGAAAATAACAATCACAAATCTCTTTATAAAAATAATGGTGGTAGAGTTTGCAACGTCTCCAAAAAAGTATAATGTTGTGGCTTTGTTCAATGTGTGTCACTTCCTCATTTGTGAAATTTCTTGTTTTGGCTAAACATAATGATTTTTAAGGAGTCAAAAGAGGGGTAAATTGAATTTCTATTCAACATATCTAAAGACTGAATTCAGAGATGTACCCTGCACACATACAAGCCCAACTCCTGGGTGGTTTACTTATTATTTTTTTCCCATAGCTTCAGGGATTGTGTGGGGATTTGTATCTTGACCCTAAGGAGCCCTGGTGGCACAGTGGTTCAGTGCTTTGTTGCTTAAAGAACAGTCCACAACTGCTCTGAAAGAGACAAAAAGGAGAGATGTGACACATCTGCTTCCAGAGAGGACCAACACAGACTGAATGAAGTAGCTCTTTGTATGTGTGTTGGTCATGTGCTACTGTCACTGCCAAGAAATGGGATTCATGCTGTTGCTTTTGTTCAGGTTTATTTTCTTTAATGGCTTTGCTGCTAGGCATCTTAGAGCCAAGGTTCCATTCTCAATATCCTGGGCTTTCCTGCTGGATAGACTGGGTAGACAGTTGTAAATCCAGGCTCTCCCAGGCTCCTGGTGTTCTGTGTCTTTGTGGTACAAAGGACTGGGTGGGTGGCGCTTTGGGCATGCTCTTTGGAGCCTGTTGCTGACCCAGTCATTGATTCACTCTGAACCCACCTTCCCTCTTGTGAATTTTCTAACAGCCTTGTGACTCATGGGGAATATGAGTGGCTCTTGAGAAATCTTTGCCTAAGAGAATTTTAGCATTTCTTTTAAGATTGCGCTGGTGGTTTTCCTTAAAGTTAGCACATTGTTTGTTTTCTACTTCAGTTTTAAGAAAAACATCTTCATTGTTGCTCCCTTCTGGTGTGGTGCTTGACTGCAAGGTCGGTTTGACCCACAAGGTCAGCGATTCAAGCTCACCAGCTGCTCTTTGAAGACCCTATACAAGATCACTATGAGTTGGAACAGACTTGATGGCACTTAATAACAGCAAGATTGATGTTTGTTATTTTGTTCTTCATGGTACCACTGATGTACTGATATTAATTAACGTAAATATATATGGGAATGTTTTTTCAATATTTAAAGCTTTTATAGTTTATTGGAGTCCTGGTGTGGCACTGTAGGCTATACACTGGATTGCTGACCACAAGGTTGGTGCTTCAAGCCTGCCTACTATTCCTTGGAAACATGGTACAGCTTTGCTGTAAGTTGGATCCAACTCAACGACACTTAACAACTTAACAACTATTGGGAGTTTTGATATGGTGCTGTAGGATAAGCAGTGAAGTGCTAACCTCAAGATCAGCAGTTCAAACCCATCAGCTGCTACTTGGAATGTCTACATGGGGTCGCTGAGTTGAAAGTAACTCGATGGCTTTTCACAATAATAGTTTGTTGTGGGAGCCCTGGTGGTATAGTGGGTTATGCGTTGGGTTGCTATCCCCACGGTCAGTGGTTGTAATCCACCAGCTGACCTGCAGGAGAAAGATGAGGCTTTCTGCTCCTGTAAAGATTTACAGCCTCAGAAACCCTATACCAGGTCGCAATGACTCAAGGACACACAACAACAACAAAATAGTTTGTTACGCAGATATGTAAACTCTAGTCCTTATTCATTGCCAACTTTCATACTACCTTCTACATTGTGATTCTTATGGATCTTAAATGAAGCGTCCTTGTGTAAAGTAAAGTAACAAACATTGAAATCATGTAAACAAGTAACTTACATTACTTTTCCATTGACTTACTTGGCATTTGTGCATTTGGTCTATTCTCATGAATATTTTTCAAAATGTTCAACTGAGTGCCTTTTGCTGTCACTTCATTTTAAAGGTAAAAGAGAAGGTTCTTTAATTGTGCTGGAGCCCTCCTGGTATGGCGCTGTAGGAGAATGCACTAGACCATCAGGTCGGTTTGACCTGCAGAGTCAGCAGTTCAGACTCTGAGTCAGCACCGACTCAACAATAGCAACGTAATTGTGCTGGTGGAGCTGTAGGATAAGGACTAGACTGCTAACTGCAAGGTCAGCAGTTCAAACCCACAAGCTGCACCAAGGGAGAACCATGAGGCTTTCTGCCCCATGCAGATTTAGAGCCTTGGAAACCTTGTGTCTTGCTATGAATCAGAATCAATGCGATGGCAGTGAGCTTGGTTTGGTTTTATAATTGTTCTTGTGTGGGTTCTTTTGTGATTGAAAGGACTCTTTGTTTTTTAGCACTGAGGTCTTGATGACAGTTTTGTGTTCCCTTTCTTTAGGTGTTGTCCCAGTCTTGTGTTTGGTATGGAGAGTGTGGGATTGCATCCGGAGATAAGAGATACAATTGCAAATATTCGGGGCCACCAAAACCGTTGCCAAAGGATGGGTATGACTTAGTGCAGGTAAGTTCATTATCTGGGGCATTGGGAACATAAAATACTGACCAGCCAATACCTTCAATGCTGTTATGGGATGTTGTTAAGTGCTGTTGAGTCAATTCGACCCATAGCAACCCTGTGTAGGGTTTCCAGGGAGTAGCTGGTGAGCTTGAACCACCGGTTTTGCAGTTCAGACGACATTACAGTCTGACGCATTAGCCCACAGCGCCATAAGGTGGCTTAAATTATCCCAGGCCCCTCACACAATGGCAGAGAAGATAACATAACTCTAGGAGCTCAATTTTTCACAAACTGACTTTATTACTTCCTTAGATTGAACAACAGCAGGTTATTGTTTAAAGACCAAACTTGGTTCTTTTGCAGCTTTTATAAATTTTATTAGAAGATAGCCTGTTTTTAGTTCCTGGACTTCAGGGCTTGAATGGACTCTGCAGCTGAGTGTCCGACTTCCTTATCCTGTCCTCATTTAGTGACCCCTCCCTCTGCTTTTGATGGAGAGCCCATGAATTTGGGCTGCTACCAAGGTTGTTTTCTTACCATTCCTGGCACACAGGAAAAAAACACAGAAAAACCCTAAGAAGACCCAACTATTCCTCTTATAGATAAATACCCAGGAGACTTAAAATAGCAACACCAGAAGACTCATGCATCACAGCACTTTTCACAGTAGCTGGAAGGTGGAAGCGACTGAAATGTCCATTAGCAGATGAATAGATAAACAAGCATGGCATACATAGTGCACCATTGCTCAGTCAGAAATGAAGTTCTGACTCAATGGCACTTAGCAACATATGAAAAAAAGCAAATGCATAGAAACCAAAATTATTACTAGTTGCCAGGTGTGGGGCAAAACTGACAGAATACAACTGAAATGTTTCAGCAAACTGATGCAACACTGAAAACACTCACTCCTCTATGCCAAGAAATTTGGAAGACAAGCTGCCAATTCAACAATAGAAAGAAATCGATATGTGTGCCTATTCCAAAGAAAGTGGACTCAACAGAATGCAGAAATTATTGAATAATATTAATATCATATGCAAATAAAATTCTCCTGGGAGTCATCAAGGCAAGCCATCAAGGCCCTTCAGGACAGACCCCCTCCCAAGACTGAAACTCAAAGGAATACACGAGCAGGCTTGTAAGCTCGCTGGTGACCACCGGGCTCTGCTTGTGAGTGGAAGTGGACGGAAGGCAGCATGAAGACATATTCCGTAGACTCCTGTTGACCTTGAGATGAGAGAGAGAAGAGGAAGGGCTATTGCTCCAAAGTTTGTGGAGACTTGGGAACTCCTGAGCCCATTGACACCAACCTAACCACAGAGGACTAGAACTGCAAGTGGAGCATCCAGCTGATATGAAGTGGGGAGAGGTGCACAAGAACACCCAAACTTGCAGATAGTACCCATGTGACCTAGCTTAGATGGCTTGATGATCAAACCTCTACTAAAGGAAGATAAAGAAGTTTGATACACGAAGCAAGTGTAAATTGCTACAATTTGATGAACTTGACCTTTGCTTTTTGACGTAGTTGCTCAAAATGCCATCTGAGAGAAGACTGTTCATATCAAGGATCAAGCCTACCCCCTCAGTATACAGGATTGATAGGGACAGGCAACTTAGACATTGGCTACCTAAAATGAGGGGGCTATAAGGTCACAAAGTGGCTGGGTTACAAGTTTTCAAGAGGGAGTTTAGTTTTCAGAGTGAGGGAGGGAGGTAAAATCCCCACTGAATACTTTTCATCTTGTCTAGATGGGTCTGGTGAAAGGAGATGGGATAGGATTCTTTTAATTCAATAGTAAGTGTTATCATGACTAATTGTGATGGTCACAACTATAAAGGTAGAAGATATATTACAAAAGGGGAGGGAGGGTAGTTAATCTTACATTCCAGAAACAGAGGACCCTACAACTATCAAGAGGGAAGAGTATGAGTGGAACTTGGGACCCTAACCAGAGAAGCACCAGAGATGGAGGTGTAGAGCAGCTGAGGACTGTAAACTCATGGAAAGAGAAAGGCTGTGTGCTGGTGGCCAAGAGACTGGCTCACAAAATGTGCTCTTTGGTTGTTCAAACAATTAACTATTCCTGCGTGTTTTTGTGTACATCAAAAAAAAAAAAAAAAAGGAATAGAGGCAGATACTGTTAACAGATGGTGCATGCAGGGGGCATTGTAATCCCTGCAATATGATTGGTTGAGTGCAAAACCAGTGTCTGCCAAGTAAACTATCACTCAATTCACAATAAAAACTTAGAAAAGCTAATCGAATTTCCCATGAGCTCTTTGAAGTCGCCTCATTCTGTACCTGAAAGGGTTACATGTTTGTGGTTGTGTTATTTCCTTTCACTGAGAACTGTTTGTCCTTTCTAACTCTGCGGCTGGGGTATCTGTGCTTTCTCACCCAAAAGGAGCTCTGCCCGGGATTCTTCTTTGACAATGTCAGTCTTTGTTGTGATGTGCAGCAGCTTCGGACACTGAAAGACAACCTGCAGCTGCCTCTCCAGTTTCTGTCCAGGTGGGTTAACCGCTGGGGCAAACAAAACCAGTGATGTTTTTAGACAATAACTAGGGTCGCTATGAGTCGGAACTAACTTTATGACACTTAACATCGACAATAGCAGCAACAACAAAGGGAATCCTGGTGGCACAGTGGGTAAGTGACCCATCAACAACAACACAGAGGTCCTGGTGCACAGTGGTTAAGCTCTTGGCTGCTAACCAACAGGCCATCCGTCTCACTGTGGAAGAAATAGGAAGCAATCATCTTCCTTAAAGATTTACAACCTTGGAATCCCTATGGTGCAGTTCTGCTCTGTCCTACGGGGCCTCTGAGTTGGAATCAGCTTGATGACTGGGTTTCCGTTTAGGTATTAAGCAGTAAGTCATCATTGTCAGGCTTGCTTCTCTTTCTCATTGCATTTAGAGTTGATTCTTGGTTTTCCTCTAAGACTCACTTTAGAGGGTCTCTGAAGTTAGGACTGGGTGTTTTCAGATGTGAGGCTCTGCACTCTGGGAGGAGAGTTCCTGAATTCCCACTGAGGTGCTGGCAGAAACCCTTCCTTGGGCAGTCATAGTCCACCCGCCTCCTTCTCTGGCTTCTGTCTTGTTCTCTTTTCCCATAGCAAAACTGGGTGCTAGTGCCCTGCTCTTCCTTAGAGCCTGGCTTTGGTAACAAGTAACCAGCTGGTTCTGGAATAGCTGGCTGGTTTTACCCAGATTAGTAGTTACCTGCCCAGTCTTTCCTCTGACCGTGGCAGTGTAAAGAGCTGCAGAACCCTGGTCTGCTCTAGGCTTGCACAGCAACTCTCAAATGTATCAAGGAACAAGCGGCAGTGTTCTTTCAAAACAGCTTGTGACATCTTTCTAAATTTTTCAAACTTAAATGTTTGTGAAGCACATAGGAAGAGGGGGATACTGCTTATCTGTGCAGGTATACAGTAGGGAACAGAGTACAAGCTTACACTGAGGAAGTCAAGATTTCCTCAATTTAAATTGCCAGACTCTTCAATTGACAGTGTTGTTGTTAGGTGGCGTCCAGTCAGTTCATAGCGACCCTGTGCACAGTAGAACAAAACACTGACAGATCCTACAGCATTCTCATAATCGCTGTTAAGTTTAAACCTAGTGTTGTTGCCACTGTGACAGTCCATCTTGTTAGGGGTCTTCCTCTTTTTTGCTGACCCTCCACTTTTACCAGACATGATGTCCTTCTCCAGGGACTGGCCATTCCTGATAATGTGTCCAAAGTGTGAGAGACAAAGTCTCACTATCATGGCTTCTAAGTACCATTCTGGCTGTACTTCTTCCAACACAGATTGGTTTGTTCTTCTAGCAGTCCATGGATGCTTTTAATATTCTTTTCCAATACCATAATTAAATTGCACCAATGCTGTGATCTTCCTTACTCATTTTCCAACGTTCACATGCATAAGAAGCTATTGAAAACACCATGGCTTGCTCAGGCACACTGTAGTCCTCAAACTGACCTCTTTGCTCTTGGACTCTTTTAGAGAGGTCTTAGGCAGCAGATTTCCCTTATGCAGTAATACATTTTTTGCTTCTTGACTGCTGCTTCCATGAGTGTTGATTGTAGTTCCAAACAGAATGAAGTCTTTGATAACTTCAATCTTTTCTCCATTTATCATGATATTATTTATTGATCCAGTAGTGAGGATTTTTGTTTTCTGTATATTGAGTTGCAATCCATACTGAATACTGTGGTCTTTGATCTTCATCAGTAAGTATTTTAAGTCTTCATGTTCAGCAATCAAGGTTGTGTCATCTGCATATTGCAGTTGCTAATGAGTCTTCCTCCAGTCCTGATGCACGTTCTTATTCAAATAATCCAGTGTCTTGTATTATATGCTCAGTATGCAGACTGAATAAATAGGATGAAAGAAAGCAACCCTGGCGCACATCTTTCCTAATTTTAAACCATTCAGTGTCCCCTTGTTCTGTTTGAACTAATGCTTTTTGAAGGTCTGTGTACAGATTCCTCATGAGCACAATTAAGTGTTCCAGAATACTCATTCTCCTCAATGTTGGCCATAGCTTGTCATGATCCACACAGGTGAAAGCCTTTGCATACTCAAAGCACAGGTAAACATCTTTCTGGTATTCTCTGCTTTCAGCCAAGATCCATCTGTTGTCAGCAGTGATCAGGTTCTCATTCCGTGTCCTCTTCTGCATCTGTCTTGAAGCTCTGACAGCTCCCTGTCAATGTACTATTGCTGCCATTGACGGTACAGAGCAGAAAAACGAGAAAACTCGTTCCTTAAGGACAGCATACAACATACAGAGATCAAAAATGGAGAATCTCATCAGGCCAGTGTATCCTGTGGAAAGCAGGTAGACATTGAGGGAACCAGGAGACACCCTTGAGTCAAAACATATGTGTCAAGCATTCACCTCAGGCAAGACATGATGGATAGAAACATAAAAGATAGCCAAGTTTTCCACATGTTACTACAGGCACTAAAGCTTTACTTTATAATTATTGTTGTTGTTAAGTACCCTTGAGGCAATTCCAACTCATAGTGACTCTGTATAGAGTTTCCAAGGAGCTGCTGGTGAGCTCGAACCGCTGACGTTGCAGTTCAGCCCGACCTTGCAGTGCAGCACATTACATTAACCCACAGCGCCACACCAGGACTTCGTGTTATATTACCTGATCATTGTTGTTGTTGTTAAGTGCTGTCGAGTCGATTTCGACCCATAGCGACCCTGTATAGGGTTTCCAAGGAGCAGCTGGTGAGCTTGAACCACTGACCTTGAAGTTCAAACGACTTTGCAGTATGATGCATTAGCCCACAGCACCACACCAGGACTCCAGTTGAGAAATAGTCTACTGCTTGTCATATTACACAGATGTCAAAATTAATGATTGTGTGTTGTTGTTTAGTGCTACTGAGTCCATTTCAACTCAGAGCGCCCCCCTGTAACGGGTTACAGGGGTCTCCCGGGTTGTTGTTTTTTTAAGGTTGTAATCTCTATGGGAACTGATCACCAGGTTTTTCTTCTGAAGAGCGGCTGGGTGGGTTCAATTCAGCAACCTTCTGATTAGCAGCCGAGAGAGAAGCTGTTGCTCTACCACGTCTCCTTAGGTCATATGTTGTTGTGTACCGTGGAGTCGATTCTGACTCATAGCGACCCTCTACAGGGTTTCCGAGGCTGTAAATCTTTACGGGAGTAGAAAGCCTCATCTTTCTCCTGTGGAAAAGCTGGTAGTTTCCAACTGCCGACCTTGAAGTTACCAGCCCGATTCGTAACCACCAGAGCTTCTTATAGTGACCCATAAAATTGTTTGCACCAAGAGTGGTTTTCCTTAAATAGGAGTGCAGTACTTCTATGTTGTTTAAATATTCTGTATAATGTTACAAAGTTCTGTTTGCTTTAGAGTTCATTTCAGATGGTTAAAAAGTAAGGAGCGGGGGTGGGGGGGTGAGAGGAGGGAGGGGAAGGTGGAGCATTGGGCAGGGAATAAATGAATAAATACAGGATAGTTTGGGTGCTGGGCAAGGGGGCAATATACAAGAAGGGAGAGGGGAATGGAAGAACAAAGCAGATGGGAGAACGATTAGGCAGGTTTGCATGGGCTAAGTGGGACAGAGGTAAATGATGATATGCACAACCTTGGAACAACAGGGTTCTGGGATACAGAGATTGAGACATGGTTGGAAAAGAGGGAAATAATGTTAAGATGCTTAGCTGTCTTTTGAATCTTGGTTTTCCTTGCATTATATTATAAAATAGACACTGGAGAGGGAGAGAAAGGAATAGCCAGAATCATCACCATAGGAAGCTTGTAAGTCCATCTTCTGCCTATAACTGATTGGAATACCTAAAATGGGGCTACAATGTGCCCAGTGAAGGAGGCTTCCTGCGGAGCCTCTGCAATACATAAGACTATAGGTGGAAGCCTGAACCACATCCAGATCTTCAGAGATGGGAAATTTCCACTTGAAAGGACAAGCAGACCAGCCTGGAGCAGCAAGAAAAACAGAAGATACTTCTTGAAAGAAAGACCTATAGGAAAAATAGAAAAACAGTGTAGGCAGACAGACTGTTACTACAAGAACAAGCAAGTTGCTCACCGAGGAGACATCAAGGCAAGTGGTTGGGTCCCCTCAATGTAAACCCCCTTCTAAGACTAAGACTCAATGGGAATACACGTTCTGATTCATGACCACGCTCGTCACTGATAAGGGGAAGTGAGGGAAAAACAGCAATGAAGCTGCGAGCTAAGCCCTGCAATGTTCAATAGACTTTTGGGATCCTGGGTAGAGACCTGGTTGCCCAGCAGATTGGCAAGACCTGGGGACTCTTGGGCCCAGAATCAGTGACATAGCCACAGAAGACTAGAGTGGAGAGTGAAGCATCCACCAGATAAGAAGAGAGGGCATATGCACAAGAACACCCACACTTGAAGATAATACCCACTTGACCTGGCTTCAGTGACTGGATGATCAGAGCTCAACCGGAGAAAAAAAAGAGTAATCTGATACAATTTGATGAACTTGACCTACACCTATGGATGTAGTAGCTCGAAAGAGGGAAAGAAATTCTTATAGCAAGGATCATTCCCACCCCCTCCATACATAGAGTAGGCAGGGATGGGCAACTTGGACATTGGCTACCCAAAATGGGGGTGGCTACAAAGTCAAGAAGTGACTGGCTTACAAGTTTTCAAGAGGGATCCTAGATCCAGAGGGTATGAATAAAGGTAGAATCTCCACTGAGTAGTATCTAGTCTGTCTAGGCTGGGCTGATGAAATGAAATATGGATAGGTCTCTTGAGATACTATAGTGAATAATTGTTATCAGGACTGCTTGTGAGGGTTCAAACTGTAAAGGCAGACGTTTTGTAGCAAGGAGGGGAGTGATTAACTTTTGAATCTAGGAGCGATGGTCCCTGGGACATAGCAGTGTAAAACAGCCATAGCTGGCCTTTAACTGTTTATCACTAAGAAAAAACGCCTGAGCGGGGACAAAAAAAGAAGTAAGGAGCAACTGTTTTTCCAAGTAGTAACTTAGCAATTTCTTCCTTTTAAAATTACAGGTAAATAAAGTACATATATACTAATTATAGCAGTTTTTAAAGAGGCATCTTTCACATGAGGTTTTAGATTTAGAATTAGTGTGTTTAATATATTCCCGTGGGAATTCATTTGTCACTTTACAATGAACTTTATTTCTTGTCTATTCTGAATCAACTTTCTGCTGTCTCTATTATCTGTGAGATTATACAAAATTTTATTTACTTTTTCCTCAGATGTCCATCCTGTTTTTATAACCTAATGAACCTGTTTTGTGAGCTGACTTGTAGCCCTCAACAGAGTCAGTTTCTGAATGTTACAGCAACTGAAGATTATGTTGATCCTGTTACAAACCAGACAAAAACCAACGTAAAAGAATTACAGTACTGTATTGGAGAGAGCTTTGCCAACGGTAAGGACTTTGGATTGTTCCGTTTTCACACTTGGACTCAGGAAAGGAATCGAGGTGGTCCTTTCTCTTTTCCTGTCAAACTTTGGAAGATGGTAATTCCATTTGCCATGAACTGAGAGTTTGTTGATTTGTAGCCTAGGATTTGGCCTGCAACCTAAAAGACAAATCTTCATAAAATACTTGCTTTAGCCACTTTCTAAGTTCCCCACCTGGAAAATTTCAGTTTATGCAAATTTACTTCTGTGTACCTTGTTAATAATCACTGGAACTGTGGCTCTAGTGGACATGAATTGTGCAAATGTGTGAAGTACTGAAAGACTGATGAACCTGGATCGGAGGGTAGGCCTCGTTGGTGGACTAAACGAGATTTTCACTATGAAGAAACAGTTCAGCATCAGCAAGAGTCAATCAGGTATGACAGATAGGGAAATGGCACACCAATAACTCAAAATCCTAGACATACTGCAAGAGACTCTATAAGATTTCATGGAAATTATGGAAATGAAAGAATTCTGAAAGAATAGAACTCTAGGGAAGAAGGGTGAGCATATTAGAAATTGAGCCAACTGGAGTTTTAATGAGCAACAAACAGTCACGGAAACGGAATAATAAAGTAAGCAGTATATTAGACACAGCTGAGCACAGAATCTGGCTAAGAAAATGTACACAATCATAGACTGAAATTCATCAGCTATGGTTATTATAAAGGCAACATACAAATTTCATTGCAATGACCAATTACAAATGTAACAGGAAGAAAGAAAGTATTAGAAGAGAAGATAACATTTACAAAGAAAGCAAAGGTACCTAGGAAAAACTTTCCCAATAGATATAACATCAAGACATCTACCAGAATGGAGAGAGATCATTCTGTCAAGAAATGGAGCCTGAATGGGACACGTGTGTTCGTGACATATCATTGAGGGAAGAGGTGAAGTTATACAAGACATGGGCTGAGACAATTGATTATCCATATTCATCTAGTTTTTGTTTTTCACATAAAATCATGTCATACTAAAAAAATTAATTGATTATAAAACCTTAGGTTAAAAGCAAGCTTAAAAATTTTTTTAAAATAAATACTCATTTATGACTTTAAGGTAAGGAAAGGTTGCTAGACAAGAGAGAAAAAACCATAATTGACAAGATTTATGGCTGCAAATGATTGGTGTCTGAACAAATAAAGCTTTGTAAATAAATTAAAAATTAATTTTTAAAAGGGGGGCAATAGACAAGAAGAACACGCAATAAGATTTTGAAAATATGCTCAGCTTCACTAGGAATTAATGAAATGCCGGTTAAAATAGTGAGCAACCATTTCACACATTGTAAGACTAACACAAGTTTGGAAATTGGTCAGGTCCAGGTGTTGGTAAAAATGTGGAGCAGTAGGAATTCTAAGACCCTGAATCACTTTTATAGATTGGTACACAAGGGTTTGAAAACCATTTTGGAACACTTTTGGAATGCCTGGTGAAGGTGATAACACTACATATAACCTCATCTCAGAAATTCCATGTCCAGATGCCTGCCTTATAGAAACTCCAGTGCATATAAACAGAGTAACCCAGTTTAGAGTATTCATTGTAGCATTATTGTGATTATGAACAATGAGAGAACTAAATGCTTACTAACAGATGAATGGCTGAATTTGTGGGAAGTATAGTTGTGGTCAGAGTCCTGATGTGGTGCTGTAAGACGAGCACTGGGGTGTTTAGAGATGCTAAAGCAAATTGAAATGGCGAAGTCAAAGGTCTGACCAAAACATTTCAAAGGGCAGATTGATAAGACAAATAATGAAATGTGCAAACACCTGGAATTAGAAAACCAAAATGGAAGGGCCTGCTCATCATTTCTCAAGCTGAAGGAAGTGAAGAAAAATCAAGCCTCGGTTTGCAATATTGAAGGATTTTATGGGCAATATATGAAATGATGCAGGAAGCATCCAAACAAGATGGAAGGAATACACAGACTCACTGTGTCAAAAAGATTGGTTGATGTTTAACCATTTTAAGAGGTAATGTATGATCAAGAACTGATGGTATGGATGGAAGAAGTCCAAGCTGCACTGAAGGCATTGGCAAAAAACAAGGCTCCAGGATTTGATGGAATGTAAATTTGAGTTGTTTCAATAAATAAACTGATGCAGCACTGGAGGTGCTCACTCTGTCTAGAAATTTTGAAGACAGCTACCAGGCATCCGATCCATAGTTGTGCCCATTTCAAAATACAGGTGACTCAATAGATTGTGGAAATCATCTAACAATCTCATTAACATGACATGCAAGTAAAATATTGCTGAAGATAGTTCAGAAATAGCTGCAACAGTTCATTGAAAGTTTGCTGCTAGAAATCAAGCTAGTTTGGAAGAGGACAGAAAACTCAGTATATCATTACCAATGTCAGGTAGATCTTGACTGAAAGCAGAATACCAGAAAAATGTTTACTTGTTCTTTATTGACTATGCAGAGGTTTTATTCTATGTGGATCATAGCAAGATATGCATAGCATTGTGAATAATGAATATTCTGGAACACTTAATTGTGCTCATGTGGAACCTGTACATAGACCCAAGAGGCAGTCATTCAAACAGAACGAGGGGCTGCTAAACGGTTTAGTCAGGAAACACGTGTGCCAGGGTTGTATCCTTTCACCATACGTATTCAGTCTTTATGCTGAGCAAATAATCCAAGAAGCTGGATTTTATGGAGAGCAACGTGACATCAGGATTGAAGAGATTCATTAACATCTGAGATATGCAGATGATACAACCTTGCTTGCTGAAAATGAAGAGGACTCTAAATACTAATAAATATCAAAGACCACAGCCATCAGTAAGGCTTGCAACTCAATGTAAAGAAAGCAAAAAATCCTCACTGCTGGACCAATAAGTAACATCTTGATAAATGGAGAAAAAATTGAAGTTGTCAAAGACTTTGTTTTGCCTGGATTCACAATCAAGACTCATGGAAACAGCAGTCAAGAAATTAAGTGATATATTGCATTAGGCAAATCTGTTTCACAAGACCTTTTTAAAGTGTTCAAGAGCAAAGATCAGTTTGAGGACTAAGGTATGCTTGACCCAAGCCATGGTGTTTTCATTCACTTCCTATGCATGTGAAAGTTGGACACTGAATAAGGAAGACTGTAGAAGCATTGATGCATTTGAGTATGATATTGGTGAAGAATATTAAAAATACCATGGACTGCCAGTAGAACAAACAAATCTGTGTTGGAAGAAATATAGCCAGGATACGCCTTAGAAGCCAGAATGGTGAGATGCTTATATTTCAGACCTTTTATCAGGAGGGACTGATTCCTGGAGTAGGACATCATGTTGATAAAGTGGAGGGTCTGTGTAAAGAGCAAGCTCCCCGACGAGATGGAGTGATCCAGTGGCAGAAGCAGTGGGCTCAAGTGTAACAACATTTGTGAGGATGGTGCAGGCAGTGTTTCGCTCTGTTGTGCACAGGACTGCTATGAGTTGGAACTGGCTCTGCAGCACCTACCAGCAACAAGTTTGATGTAGATTAGCGGTGAGTGCTTGTGAATTGTGTTGCTCTCCATACTTTTCTGTATGCTAAAAATACACTATAAAATCAACCTGGAAAGCTAGATGGTAAAGTGGAAGAAAGATGTGAGGAAATTACCTAGAACCATCATAGACATCCAGAGATCTGGAACCATTAAAGAAGCAGCATGTGGGTCAAAACAAGGAGGTCCAGAAAGAGAAAAAATGTAGAGAGTTAGGAACAGATACTCAGCAAAAAGCATAGTGGCTGAGAATTTTCCAGAATGGATGAGCGATGAAGTCACAGATTTAAGAAACAAAATGAATCCCAGTATAAATTAAAATAAACTACACACCTCAGTACACACACACACACACACACACAGGAGCTCTGGTAGCATCGTGGTTAGGAATCGGGTTGCTATCCTCAGGATTGGCAGTTCGAAACTACCAGCTGTTCTGTGGGAGAAAGATGAGGCTTTCTGCTCCCGTAAAGATTTACAGCCTTGGAAACCCTGTACAGGGTCGCTATGAGTCGGAACCGACACGGCACATAACAACAACAACACACCTCAGTATAGCTTTGGTGTTGTCAGCTGCCGACTCATGGCAGCCCCGTGCACATCAGAATAGGGCTATTGGGATTCAGAGGGTTTTCATTGGCTGATTTTTGCAAGTATTTTGCCAGACCTTTCTTCTTACTCTGTCTTAATCTAGAAGCTTCGCTGAGCATAAGTGGAGATGTATTTGGCCAGGAAACAGACCTGGCTCTCACATGGAATTCTCCACTGATCCACCATTGCCTTGTCAAGAAACAAGAAAACTGCAAAGACAGATAATCTTCAAAGCAAGTACAAGAGCCAAATCATAAAGACTATTAAGAGATTTTTCTCACCAGCCAGAAGGCAATAGGATAGCTTCAGTTCTGTGGAATGTGGCCATCACTCGAACTCACTATCTTTTTAGAATTAAGGGCAAAACAAAATGAATTTATAAATGTCTCCCTAAAGTGTAGGGGAAGAAGGTTCTAGACAGTTTCTTGCCAGCAGGGCAAGTAAGTGAATATTAACATTATAGGACCCATTACAATTACTGTCTTTCTTAGGTGCAAAATGTCATTGATATGAATGAACTGGTGTTTCGGGTATTGTCTCTGTACTGAGGAAAAACAGAGTTGCTATTAGGTTCACTCACATGTGGCCTCTGTCCTGAAACCAGTCTATTCTCCCAAAAGGAGCCCTCGTGGTGCAGTGGGTTAAGTGTTGGGCTGCTAACCAGTATGTCTGTGGTTAGAACCCACCAGCTGCTTCATGGGGGAAAGATGAGGCTGTTGGCTCCGTAAAGGTTTATGGACGCTTTCTGGGCCAGTTCTGCTTCATCCTGTTGCGTCGCTGTGAGTTCCGTGGGGAACTTCTCGTGGTCTCCATGCAGCAGCAGCAGCTTCCTGGAGCCCCCTCGCTTGCTGTTGTTTTGCTCTCCTGTGGGCAGCGTGCTCCTTCTCTAAGCTGCCGTGAGACGGCATAGAGTAAGGGAAACCGTTCCTGTCTTTTACTTGTTAAGTTCCTCGGTGCTTAGCCTAGAATATTATTTTTGGGGGGTGAGACAGTTTGAAGGTAACCTCAGTTCCCACTCTTTGTATTTACTTTCTTGCCTCCAGCCTGCTCACCTGCTCCTGTTTGAGGTGAACGTTCCTATGAGCACATGTTTTGTAAGATTGCACAGGTGGATTAAAAGCAAGCACTGGGTTTCAGTCATTTCCCTGGGGTTCCTCTTCTAGCCATGTACAACGCCTGCCGGGATGTGGAGGCTCCCTCGAGTAATGACAAAGCCTTGGGACTGCTGTGTGGAAAGGATGCTGAGGCCTGCAATGCCACCAACTGGATTGAGTACATGTTCAACAAGGACAACGGACAGGCTCCGTTTACCATCACACCCATATTTTCAGGTGGGGAGAAAGCCAAATTGGGTGCCCAAGCCCCGTAATCTGCAATAGAATAGGCAGGTAAACCAGGTCACATGACTTGTTCTGGGAGTCTCTAGTGAGAGAGGAAGCCAGAGCATGTCGACTGTCCCTGATTCTTTGAGGGGAGAGCCGGGGTGTGGATGAGGAAAAGGATTGTCTTCCGGGATTGCTACTGAAAGTAAAGAACTATCTGTTGATAATAATAAGGCGGAAAAGTGTTACAAAGGCTTTTTCAAAAGTGCTGCTGACATACTTGACTAGTTCTTCAGCATGGAGATGAGGCACGCTTTAAGGTTTACCTTGATGTCTAGTGTGTTCAGGTCTCCATGACCATACCTTGTGTATGAAGTTACAAGGTTACTTAGCGTTTTAGAGGTCTGAGCAGCAAAATAGAAATTTATCAAACAAAAACCTTGGACTTTTCTATTATGTAGAGAATAGAATAGATATATGTATCTGTTTAATTATCTCAGCATGCTTATTCTTGGCACAGTGTTTGCTTATTGTTGGGTTTAAATATAATTCAAGACAGAAAATGTTTAATGCTTTTTTTTCCCCATTAAAATATTCACTTACCCTAATTCCCTTGTACAGACTTCTCCGTGTTTGGGATGGAGCCCATGAACAATGCCACCAAAGGCTGTGATGAGTCTGTGGACGAGGTCACGGGGCCCTGCAGCTGTCAGGACTGCTCAGCTGTCTGTGGCCCCAAGCCCCAGCCCCCGCCCCCTCCTGCTCCTTGGATCATCTTTGGCTTGGATGCCATGTATGTCATCATGTGGATCACCTACATGGCGTTTTTGCTTATTTTTTTTGGAGCGTTTTTTGCAGTGTGGTGCTACAGGTAAGAAGTTTAATTTGTTGTCTCTGTTAGAAAGAACGAAATTACCCAGTGCCACCTTTAGCTTTCTGCTTGGCAGACATTGGTTAATTCAAACAGGAAACAAATATCTGCATTAATACCCTTCCCTGGATTGCTGGGAACTAGCAAACATGGGACAAATAAAGTTTCAAAATTAATTAACCACCATTCTTTAATAGATAGATCATACTTGCTGAGTCCAACTCAAATCTTTTTTTTCTGGTCCTTGGTGTTTCTAATTAAATACAACACTATACTCCTTTTAAGGAGCTCTGGTAGCATAGTGGTTACGAATTGGGCTGCGAACCTTAAGGTCAGCGGTTTGAAACTACCAGCCGCTCCGCGGGAGAAAGATGAGGCTTTCTACTCCCGTAAAGATTTACACCCTCAGAAACCCTGTACAGGGTCGCTATGGGTCGGGACCAACTCGATGGCACTTAACAACAACAACATACTCCTTTTAGGTATTAGCAAGCATCTTAATTTAGAACAGTTTTTTTGTTTTGTATGTTAATGACTGATCTCTTAGAAATTGATTGCCAAAGCTTTCTTTCAATATGCCTCTGGGTGAATTTGAACCACCAACCTTTCAGCTAGCAGCCAAGTGCTTAACTGTTTGTACCACCCATGGCTCCTAGGACAGTACTTTTTTTTTTTTTTTTTTAAACTTTCAGTTTTGAAACACTTTTAAACTTACAGGAAAGTTTTAAGAAATAATAGCGTTTGTATCTACCATTCACTCAGCTCTCCCTAATGTTGCAGCTTCCATAAGCAAGAAAAGAACATTGGTAAAATATTATTGACTAAACCACAGATTCTATTCAGATTTCACCTTTTCCTCCAAGAGCCTTTTACAGCTACAGGATCCTGTACAGCATCCCAGATCTCATTCACTGTTTTGTTTCGTTAATGAATCTCCTCCATTCTGACAGCCCCTCAGTCATTCCTTCCTTTTTTTTGTAGAATGCCCCCTAGTTTGTCTTTACTGATGTTTTCTCCAGAGCAGATTGAGGTGGTGTGTTTCTGTGTCTAACCCAGAAGTGGCATTGTGTCTTCTCAGTGTATCACATGAAGGCCACATGATGCCCGTGCCTTTTTCCTGCTGATAGCAGTCTTGACCTCCTGGTTAAGGTGGTTGGTGTCTGCTGGATTTCTCTACTGCAGAGTTACCAGTTTCCTTTTTGTAATCATCAGCATGTTAGGGGAGACAGTTTGGAATTTTGCTGAGACCCTATTTCTCCTCAGAGTCTCACCCACTTTCTGCAGCATCTATGGTGGGTCTTGTCTGCACTCAGTCCTGGGGTGTTTGCCTGATTGTGAGGCTGCCTGTCCGGCCTTTCTTCCAACTTAACTGGTTGGACTTATTCTGTACTGAGCTATGTTCCTCCCCCCTCCAGGTATTTACTTATTCACTTATTTGCTTAAGTGTGAACTCATGGGTTTTCTTTCCCCTCATCCTGTGGGTCTGAGACAGTACTGACATTTGCTTTGTTACTCAAATTTTCCTAGTTTGCATCACTGGAAGCACCTTCTGGTTGACTTGAGTGTCTTTTTGAAGCACCCTTAACCTTTTTGGGCACCTTTTTGTTTTCTGGCATCACAACATGTTCCAGGCTCTTCTTGTAGTCTCCCTGGCATCAACCTTTTCTGCAAAGAGCTCTGATTCTTCCCATTATTCTGAATCACGGTCTATACATACGCTCCTTGATACTAGGGAGAATTTTTAAATACAAGTGAAGACGACAGGTGAAATTATTCCTGACTAGTTTGTTGATATTTTTTTTAAACAAACAAATGCTGTCATAAATCTCCTAAGACTGATGAGCAAAGGGACCCAGAGCATTGGAATTGAGAGGAAAGAAGGTCTTGTAAGGGAGAAGAAAGGGAACAGAATGACATTTTAAGCTCTGAGTTGGGTAATGGGAACGTTAGCACAACAGCCTCACTGTGATTAAGTCCACTTCCATGCTTTTGTTTTTCAGAAAACGGTATTTTGTCTCTGAGTATACCCCCATCGACAGCAACATAGCTTATTCTGTCAATGCCAGTGACAAAGGTAGGCATGTTTGGGGAAGAAATGAAGACATGTTTCGATGATGTTGGCATGAGAATGTTTCCTCCTGACATGTTTCTGCACCTGCTCTGGGGTGACCCGGTTTGCTAGTGCTGAGGGTACAGCTGTGATCAGACAGTAAGGGTCCTTGCCCCTTTGGTACTAGCAGTCTAGTCAGGGTGGCAGATCAGACCAGCTCTGGGAGCAGGGAGTGGCATGGTAGGGTTGATGGGGGAGCTGCTTTAGATAGTGGGCCAGGAACTCACTTCTCAGAGTAAGGCTAGGGTGTGAGCATGGTTCTTCTGTCAGTGGAGGGTGGCATGCATTGTATCAGACAGGGAAGAGGGTGTCATTTAGCAGGTGATAGCTGGCAACCAGACAGAGCTTTTTTGCATGTCCTATGAGGGTTCGGGTGGCCACCATCTGTAGTGGTAGCTAATGCATTTCCTGTTCCAACTTTCAGGAATGGCTTGGCTCTTAACCTCCACCCTCCCTTCCTCTCCCGCTCTTCCAGGAGAGGCATCCTGCTGCCACCAAGTTGGTGCAGCCTTTGAGGGCTGCTTGAGGCGGCTGTTCACACAGTGGGGGGCTTTCTGCATCCGAAACCCCACCTGCATCATCTTCTTCTCCCTGGTCTTCATTGGCGTATGCTCTTTGGGCCTGATGTTTGTGCGAATCACAACCAATCCCGTCGACCTCTGGTCAGCCCCCAGCAGCCAGGCACGTCGAGAGAAGGAGTATTTTGACACGCACTTTGGGCCTTTCTTCCGCACGGAGCAGCTCATCATCCGGGCCCCCAACACCCAAAAGCACACCTACCAGCCATACCCCTCGGGGGCTGACGTGCCTTTTGGACCTCCACTTGACATAGAGATTTTGCATCAGGTAACCTGCTGTTTGCAGAAATCAATCCCGGGGAGGAGGGCAGACCTGCTTGTCTGTTGACCAGTTCTGCTTGATGTGGATTGGGGTCTGAATGTACTGGCATCTACTAAAAGTCTTCACTTTGAAGAAAGTGAGTGCTAGGTATTGACCTGAATGAAGACTATTGGAGCCTGCTTTTGTGTTTTGCTCAGGCCTTGCCTTTTTCTTAAGATTGAGGTGCGCAGAGAAAGCCCTTCTGTATGGAACCAGGATGTATTTATAAAGAATTCACTTTAGGGATTTCTGAATTATTCCCTGGATAACTAATGGTACTAAGCTAGGACTGGCAGCATGGAGCTGCCCTGCTCTCATGAGGCTGGGGAGGGGTCCTGAGCCATCACTGATCTGCATGCAGCTCCGGCTTCCATGTGCACTGTACAAAGGCCTGGAAGCCTTCTGGTCTTCCCTTATCACTCTTGGCCTTGGAGAAACTACACAGCACTTTCTGTTATTATGGAATGGTCACACAGCCACATTGCTGTCCTTTTAAATGTTGCTCTCATCCACCAAAGCAAACCCATGTCATTGAGTCAATGCTGACTGATGGTGACCCTACAATCCAAGCCAAAACCTGCACCCTTTAGTCAAATTCGGTCTCATAGCAACCTTGTATAGGATTTCCGAGGTTGCAAATCTTTATGGGAGCAGAAAGCTTCATCTTAACTCCCATGCACAGAGTGCCTGGTGGACTTGAACTGTCAACCTTATGGCTAGCAATCCAGTGATTATCCTATAGCACCACCTTCAGGACAGAGCAAAATGCCCCATGGGGTTTCCAAGACAGAATCTTCACAAAAGCAGACTGCTTCATCTTTCTCCCTTGGAGCAACTAGTGGGTTCAAGCTACTCACCTTTTGGTTGGCAGCTGAGTGCTCTAACCACCATGCCACCAGGGCTACTTGTTCTTAGCAACAGAAGGTCTGACATTTATAAAACATCAGGACAGTTCCATGATTTAATAGAATTGCTTCTCCACTCAGTGCTGAGCTGTTGGTTTCTCCCACCTTCAGTTTATATTTATCAGAAGTTTATCAAGTCATCTGCTTTAGATGAAAGATGAACAATATACAGTTGCCCTAAGGAGCCATTCTTTGTGGGAATGTACCTCCATTGTAGGATGTAGTGAGCCGGTAGCTAGTGTGTTGTTAGTGAAGGAGAGTGTGGGAGAATACCAGGACTCTTGCTCTATCTCAGTTCTGTGGCTGTGTTGGTCCCTGCTGGAGAGAGGGTGTGTTCTCTGTTAATGTCTGTCTTGTTGTAGTGTGGTACTTGATAATGCCCCACCCTGCCCCACCTCTCTGTCCCAGTTTGCTAGCTGTGTCCATGGTGTCATCAGACTGTACAAAGGACACTTGTCCTGGGCCCACCTTAGGAAGCATTTTCTCAAATAGTTTTTGCCTTTTGACTCCTCGGGACCATCGTCTGTCAAAATCTGAGAGAAGTCTGATACTTGTCTGGGTTTGTTTTTTCTTTTTCTTTCCAGGTTCTTGACTTACAGACAGCCATTGAAAACATCACTGCATCGTATAACAACAAGACTGTGACCCTTCAGGACCTCTGCTTGGCCCCACTCTCACCATATAACCGGAACTGCACGATTATGAGTGTGCTAAATTACTTCCAGAACAGCCATTCTGTGCTGGACCACAAAATAGGGGACTTCTTCTATACATATGCCGATTACCATACACACTTTCTGTACTGTGTGCGGTAAGTGGCTTGAGACACATTTGCATCTGGGAAGATTACATTATTTTATCCCACAGATATTTCAGTTCCTACTATTGCTGCAAGGTTCGAGAGAGGACAAACACCTGCTTTCCAACACTGGTGTTCTAATGAGCGCACATACTAACAATGAACAAATAAATATGCAGTACAGGGTCGGGTGAAGGAGCTCTGGTAGCATAGTGGTTTATGAGTTGGGCTATTAACTTCATGGTCAGCAGTTCAAATCTACCAGCTGCTCCAGAGGAGAAAGACGAGGTTTTCTACTCCGGTAATGATTTACAGCCTTAGAAACCCTATACAGGGTTGCTGTGAGTCAGAACTGACTCCTCTGCACAGCCACCACCACCAGAGGGTCAGGTTGAGGGAGGTGCTGTGCAGGAATATGAAACAGGACGTGAGGCTAAAAGCAGTGGAGTGAGCTACTATGGACTACACTGGGAGTGGAAAGCAGAAAGCCTCACCAGGCAAACGTGCTCCAAGCTGAAGGAGCAGCAAGTGCAAATGCCCAGTGGTACACAGTGAGGGAACTGCAGGTGCCTCAACCATGAACTCCTGCCCTAGTTGAGAACATGGAGTTTTCTGTCCATACCACCCCTAAGGTTTGGTTAATAGTACAAGAGGAGAAGCCTCTAGTGCTTTGTCTTGTTTTTCAAACATAAACTTACACCATAGAGTTGTTTTTCAAATGTACAGACTGCCCCTCAAGGGGCAGGGTGCAGGAATTTGTGATTGGATGCATGTCTAAAGGGACAGAGTGAGTTTATAATTTGAATTACCCACCAAGAGAAGCTACCATGGGGACAAGTGAGGTGACCTTTAGACTTGTCCCAGGAACACAAATGCACCAGCAACACAGATCGACCTGCTGTCCTAGACCTTGGCTGTGTGGCCTGGGCCGGCCTACAGGCGAGTTGCTCAGCCAGTAGAGGCACACATGGCTCTTGTCCTCCCAATGGGAACAGAGAAATGGCACCTCGTCACCTTGAGTGTGCGGCATACTAACTCTGTCCCATTCGGTGGCCTAATGTTCCGTGTGCTTTTGTTATAGGAATTTACCCTTCAGGCCCCTGAGCTATATTTATTTTGAGGAGCTAGCCTCTAAACAGATGAGATACACTCACATAAAACAATAAGGGTATGTCCATGTATCTTAAACCAGAGTTTCCCACAAGGTAGCTATTACAGGGAAGGGGGAGGCATGATGAAGTGGGGGTGGGGGAGTTATATAATTTTATGTTTTGAGAAATTGACTATTTACTTTCTATTGTTTTATAAAATAAAAATCAGCAAAATTCTGGGGGAGAGGTCCAGGAGAGTGGTGTTTTATCAACAGGGGGCATGATTTTCTGGGTAGAGTGATGCAGCTGTAAAAGCTGGGCATCAGGAATGTTTGATTCATGCTTGTGCCTGTGTGCTCCCAGAGCCTCCCACCCTGCTCCAGCTCTCATCTCTGCCCCCCGCACTTATCACTGCGCACTTCTCTCCCACATACCCCGCCTTTTACTGCCGTCCACCTCTACCAGCTCTGTGGTCACGGAACTGAATATCTGCAGGCTCATTCAACTCTGATGAGGACGCAGCAGAGGCAGGCCCTAGACTCAGCCCCCAGCGTCAACCCTGAAGGCTGCTTGACCGAGCAGGTTCCCTAGCCTCCAGGGCTGCAGTCCCATCATCTGTTGACTCTGAAGGGTGCTTGCCCCACCCACTGACTGTCGGTTTGTCTGTCTGGCCTTGACCACTGGAGTCCTGACTGGCCTGCATACTTTCTGTGGTGTTTCCACTTTGCTTCCACCTCACGTCCCTCAGGTTAAACTTGTGATATTCTTCCCTCCAAATCTCAGTTGTTCCCAATGCCTATAGGATAAAAATCCCAACTACTTAACATGGGATTGAAAGCCCCTTCTCCCACTGTCCTTTTCCAGCCTCATCTCCTCCCTGAGAGGCCACCCGCTTCCCACATGGGCACCCATGCACTGGACACAAAGGACGCCTTACATTGCCGTCCCCTTCCCTCCCTCCCTGGTGTCTTCTTGCTCGTCCTTGGAGGTCTGGAGTGCACTGCTATCCTCCCTGCGGTAGTCCCCATGTACCCAGAGCATGGTGAATTCTGAGCTGAATTGGTTCCCTCCTTGGTCTCCTTCACAGCTTGCTGTATGAATGTGTAGGTCTCTGTAATGTCCCATGACTTTGTTCTAATTTCTGGACTTTCTGGCAGGGCCCCCGCCTCTCTGAATGACACAAGTGTGCTGCACGATCCCTGTCTGGGTACGTTTGGTGGACCTGTGTTCCCATGGCTTGTGTTAGGAGGCTATGATGGTAAGTTGGGGAGCCTTACCAATTAACAAATGATAATTAGAAAGATTTCAAGAACTGAGCCTGTCTTACTCATTCCATAGCTTTTTGAAACCCAAATACATCTCCTTTGACTCTGACTTTGGGCATTATTCTGAATTTAAAAGAAGTATAACCTGTGTCTTTGAGAAGCTGTTGAAAGCTAAGAACTCTTTTCCCAGAATAATGTGTTTGTGCACATCCACAGTCTATGCGTTCAGTTCTTAGGAGGGTCTGGAACTCTTGAAGCTCCTCTGGGGAACCCCTAAGGGGTCCATGGACCTCAGGCTAAAACCCCCTCTATTGGTGAAAAGACAATATGTCGGTTAAGGGGGAGAAGGAGTTCTGTTGGTGGATTTGTTTATTCTTCTAAACCACTTGGTTAAGACTTCAGACGTTTTTATAGTGGGAGAATCCATTGTTTTGCTACAGAGCTGGTCCCTGTAGCTCCTTGGAACCAATCGCTCCGGCCTGTGGGGTGATGGTTCGTGTGGCCATGCTGGCACCAGAAGCTCTCCATCCAGGCTTTTCTCCAGCCCAGTGAATGGGAGCATGGCAGTTCCAGCCAGGGGGGAAAAGACAGTGGTGGAGTCTGGTTATTATGGTGGGGGCGGGGAGCAGGGGGGAAGATTTGAGCTCTACCTTCTTACACCAAAAAAATAAAATAAACAGGCGAAGCAAAGACTGAAATATAAGAAGTGAAACCATTCCAAAACTAGGGAAAAAAACACCAGGGAGGGGATTTTTTGTTGTTGGTTTTTATTGTTTTGTTTTTTAATCTTAAAATGGAGAAGACATTTCCAGCAAGATACAAACCCAGAAGCCACTAAAGGAAAGACAAATTTGTCCACATTAAAAATTATAAAATTCCTGTTTGGAGGAAAATACCATAAAACAGAAAAAACAAATGGCAAATTGGAGGGGAAGTGTTACTATAAAGGACAAACATTTTCTTAATACATAAAGAACTCTCTGGGTTTTTTTTTTTTTTCATGTTTTATTGTGAATTATATTTTACATGGGAGAACTTTATATTTACATTCATTCCACCATATATCATTTCATTGCCATGGTTCCAATCCCCTCCATGCATCATCAGCCGACCAAAGGGTATACCCTATAAACTCGCCCCCTACACTTCCCCCCGCCCCCCAATTCTTCAGCACACAGTCCCTCTCCCTCTCTGGATCCAAAGTCCCCAGCTGCTTCGTCACTCCACGTCATCGTCTCTGCCTCCATCTCGGGCCTCGCTGCTTCTCTGGGTAGGGTCCCGCTCTCAGCTCTTCTCCGTTGATGGTCCTAGAGACCTCTGCTCCTAGACTGGAGAGTTAATCACTCCCTTCCTTGCTATAAAACGTTTACCTTTACATTTCCAACCCTCACAGTCAGTCCTGATAACAATCATTCACTATTGTATCACAAGTGACCCTTCTGCATTTCATTTCATCAACTCCGCCTAGACAGATTGGATAGTACTCACTGGAGATTCTGCCTTCCTCCATGCCCCCTAGCTCTAGGTTCCCTCTTGAAAGCTTGTAAGCCAAGAACTCTCTGTTTTAAAATCAGTGATCCAAAAGAAAAATGGGTGTGGAAATTTAAAAGTTCACTATAAGAAATAACAAAAATAGCAAATGGCTTTTAATTACAAGGAGACTTCAAAAAGCACGTGGAACCCTGAAGTGAAAAGACTGCTGCCCCTCACTTTCTGAAGCCCTCTCCTACCTGGGGGAGATGCTCAGCAAGTGCAGTGCATTCCTGTGTGGTTCCTACTGAGCAGACTGACACCCAGCTAGAGTGTCACAAAGCCCTGGCAGTGTTGGTGGAAGTCTGGGGGTCCCTGTGTTGCTGGTGGAGACCTAAGTGGTCACTACAAGGTCAGTACCAGGAAGGCTGGGACGGTGCCTGAAACCAAGCCCAGCACCAGGAGGGCTCAGTCAATACCCTGCCTTGTACTGGAATTAGCAATGTTACTACATCTTTGGATGGCAGCTTGGGAGAGTTTATCAAAATGAGAACTCCATACACTTTTTGCATCTGTAGTTATATGGCTTTAGTCTATGAATATATATATATCAACTTAATAAAAATATAAGGTTATTCTTTGTAGTTTTGTTTTAACAACAGAGAAAGCCAACAATGTCTATGGAGTAATACACAGTAGAAAATGAGTACGGAAGCTCCCTTAAGTGCTAAAATTGCACTGTTTCCATGCCACACCATTTTGAAATGTAAGGTGTAGAACAGTATCTTAGGGTTTCTGATGAGTATTTACAGAACGGGGAAGAAGGGATCTATGCTGTGTGCTGGTGTTTGCTGAGTACCTCGGGAACTGCACATCTGGTCAGTGTGTAGGGAGGAGGCCTGCAGGAATGGTACGGGGATTGGGAAGGAGAGAGACTTTGTGGATAAGGCATTCTTCCTGAATTATACTTGCCTACCTCAGATAGAGAATCCCTTTTCTCACTAGCTACACTGTATGCTGGATTTCAGGGAACTCTTTTTTGTCCTTGGAGCTCAGGGCCATAGTCAACACAGTGAGGACTCCATGTGTGGTTGTGGTCCTTTGCCCAACGCAGTTATCTGATCTTTGTATCCTTGTAACCATCCGTTTGATGTCACATTTTTTATTTTCTAGATCAAAACTACAATAATGCCACTGCCCTTGTGATCACCTTTCCTGTCAACAATCACTACAATGACACAGAGAAGCTGCAGAGGGCTCAGGCCTGGGAAAGAGAGTGAGTTGCCAATGGGGTTCTAGGAGCTGGATGCTCGCAGTGAGCTTCCATTGAGTTAAGCAACCTCACTCATGGTGCCAAAGAGAAGAAATACTTACAAGCCCAGCATTTCAACAGATATTCCTGCACAGGAATGCTAAAGTCTATGTATAATATAGTCCTGCTTTGTTTTCTTAGGCAAAGCCTGGGAGCAAGCTGAGTGCACATCAGTGAGGGAGGTGGTAAATTCCATGTGTCGTGGTTGTACAATAGAATATCATGCACCCATTAAAATGAGGAGGGAGTCCTGGTAGCATTTGGCTGCTAACCAAAAGGTCAGCAGTTCAAACCCACTAGCCACTCCATGAGAGAAAAAGGTGGCTTCCGTAAGTATAGATTTACTGCCTTGAAGACCTGATGGGGTAGTTTGACTCTTTCATAGGGTCACTGTGGAGTCCTGGTGTGGTGTTGTAGGATAAACACTGGACTGCAAACCACAGGTCAGCAGTCCAAACCCACCAGCCGATCCTAGGAAACCTTATATAGGGTCACTGTGAGTCAAAACCAGTTCAACGGCTCACAACATAATAGGGCCACTATGCACTGGAATCAATGGCAGCAGGTTAAAGTGAGGTAGATAAGCAATCCAAAATGTATGAAATAAAAAGTTGCACTCAGCATGTTTAAGTAAATGTGTGCTATTAATACTGTTGGTGCTTAGAGAAAGTGTCGCACAAATGACAGAAATCATCATTAACTCCTAGGGAATGGGAGGGAGGCAGAGGAGACGAGAGACTTCCGACTCTTCACTTCATGCCCTTTGGTTCTTTTTACATTTTGCTTTATGAGCAAGTTCTATTAGTTATTGTAATATACTTCATTTGAAAAATCTTATTAATAGGGAAAACGTGAGCCAGTTTATTGTGAAATACAGCAAAACATTTACCATTTGAACCATTTTTATGTATACAATTCATGACATTAATTCCATTTACCATGTGGAGAAGCCATCAAAATCCGTTTTAAAACTTGCCCTAACCCTGCTCAGCTGGTGGAAGGCTGAGCCTGTCTGGAGCTGTTGGCTGTGATCCTGGAGGATCAGTGTGGTGGTGCTGGTGGTGCTGCTGGGCTGTGGAGTCAGTTCCCACTCATAGCAACCCTGTATAGTGGTTCCTAGGCTGTCAGTCTTTATGAGAGCAGAAAGCCTTATTGTTCTCCTGAAGAACCACTGGTAGTTTTGAAAACCTGACCATATTGATTAGCAACCTGACTTGTAACTACTACACTAACCTAATGTGGGACAAAGGTTAAATAAGTGTGACTTTTTTTTGTCATTAAAGTTGGGAAGACAGATGTTTCTTAACTTAGTTATTTTAGCGGTCACCTGGTGTGGCACTCTTAAGATAAAGACTGAACTGCTAACCTCAAGTTCAGCACTTCAAACTCACCAGCCACTCCTTGGAAGGCACATATATAGGTTCTCTATGGGTCGCTATGGGTCGGAACCGACTCGATGGCACATAACAACAACAACAACAACAACAATGACTCAATAGCACTTAACAACAGTGGCTAATAAGGTGTTCTGGTGTGATGCTATGGGCTAATGTGTCAGACTGCAAAGTCATTTGAACTGCAAGGTCGGTAGTTCAAGCTCACCAGCTGCTCCTTGGAAACCACATATATATAGTCTCTATGAGTCAGAACTGACTTGATGGTACTTAACAAAAACAACATGTTTTCACTCAAAATAAAGATTCTTGTTTCCTCTAGGTTTATTAAATTTGTGAAAAAGTACAAGAACCCCAACCTGACCATCTCTTTCACGGCTGAGCGAAGTATTGAAGATGAGCTCAACCGGGAAAGTAAGAGTGACGTCTTTACTGTGGTCATTAGCTATGCCATCATGTTCTCATATATTTCCATCGCCTTGGGGCACATCAAAAGCTGTAACCGACTTCTGGTGAGTGGGGTGTGACTTGGAATGTCTGTGCTTAGAGGAAAATGGCACTGGGCAACATATCGTATTTTGCCCTTATTCAGAATTCAGGAATGCTGGTGTGGCGCTGTTGGATCAACACTGGACTGCTAACATCAAGGTTGGCAGTTCAAACCCACCAGCTGCACCTGGTAAATCCTATAAAGGGTTGCTATGAGTTGGAACCAA